AGAGTGTCATGATGCCACCGGACATTTTGGATATAAGAAGACTGCAACCAATCTGCTGCATCATATCTGGTGGCCCACGATGATGAAAGATGCCAGGCTGTACGTGGAAACTTGTCAAGTGTGTCAGAGGGACAAGCCACGAACGCAGACCCCTCTTGGGCTTATTAAGCCCCTTTCGATTCCGGAAAGGCCCGACGAGAGCTTGCCCATGGACTTCATGGACACGCTGGTCACGAGCAAGAGTGGAACGAGACACATCTTTATCATTGTGGATAGTCTTAGTAAGTATGCTAGATTAGTTGCAATGCCCGAAACAGCAAAGACCGAGGACGTTGTAGGGGCCATACCCTGTAGGACTTTCGAGCCTCGGTCGACCCCACCGCGGGTCCCATTTGGCTCGACCCGCCCACGCTCACGCTCAGGGCGCGGGTCGTTCGTCCCAGGGGCACCCCCGCCTAGTGCTAAGAGATGGATGGGGATGGGCCTTTTGCGAGAGGGCTTTACATTGGGGGATGTAGCTCCGCTCTCGTGTCAAGATGGTAGCTCTTTAGGCACTCGTGGCGTTTTCTCGATTCAGTTAAGTCTGACCAGGCAATTGCTCCTTCCAATACACAAGCAGTCCAGGGAGTTTGTTGAGATTTTGTCTTCTTACCGTGCGCAGGCCAAGCGTCATCCATTGGGCCACGCACCCTTTTACTAAGTCTAGTGGCTCAGGGCAGCCCCGTTGGCATCCTTGGGGTGCGGCGGCGTCGCCAGGACCCCTAGCTGCTATTTTTTTGCGAGAGCCGCTAGCATCACATCCATCTACTCAAAACCGCCCAAAGTCTTTCCGGGCGTCGCATTGCACAGGAGAGAGTCATCCCATTCAACCACCATGCAACCCATACCGTATCACCCGTCATTCATCCAAGCGTCCAACCCTCAAAAGATTGTTATGATCGTTATTGTGTCTGCATTGAAGAAATGCGACAAAGTCTTCGAATCATTGTCCAATGCTTGAATCAAATGCCTAGTGGCATGATCAAAGCGGATGATCGTAAACTTTGTCCTCCTTCACACTCTCAAATGAAACAATCCATGGAATCCTTAATTCATCACTTTAAGCTTTACACGGAGGGTGTGTCTGTACCAACTTCTTCTACATACACCTGTGTAGAAGTACCCAAAGGAGAATTTGGTGTATATTTAGTTAGCAACGGAACCAATCGTCCTTATCGTTGTAAAATTCGAGCACCTGGTTTTGCTCATTTACAAGGGTTTGATTTTATGTCGAAACATCACATGCTCGCAGATGTGGTTACTGTGTGATGGAGGTAGAAGAAGGGTTGGGGTGGCCGGCTATGGTGGACGGTGTAGGTGATGGAGGAGGAAGGAGGGTTGGAGGTGGTTGGCTATGGCGGACGGCGTG